AGTCCAAAGATTAGTTGATGTGAATTAAATTTATATGTTATGTAATATATACTGAGAAAAAGCAAAGAATGGTTGCAGTTTGACCTACATTAATGAGAACTTAAATTAGAAATTTATTACGATTCAGATGTTTTTAATATCTGACATCTAGGGTTTTTAACCCCCCCAGGGGGGTTTGGGGGGAGTCTCAGGAGGTTCCGAGAGACGCATCACAAATTGATAAAAAGTCGGTAACATCAGCCACATAATGTTCAAGCCAAATGTTCGAGCCTAAAATAGTCTGTGACTCTTAGTTATTTATGTTGGCACACATTAGTGGTGGGGGTGCAGTTCTGCTCTCCTTTCATTTGGGCGTCCGTGGTTTAAAAAAGGCTGAAAACTGCGACACTAGACCCTGCTGAAATGATAATGTTATATGAATATGCATAACTATGTTAGGGACGTACCAACTTCTCTGGGGGGGGGCAGCCTGACATGGGCAGGGGCCCCTAAGGGGGGTATTTGAACTTTTTTTTGCAGCCGAAAGAGAAAGCAGAGGGAATTAAAAACGATGGAACATCAATAATATGCTAATCAGAGCGTGGGGTACCAGCGGTAAAGCTTAGCAATCAGGGTGGGGGCGGGAGTGTGGAAGGTAAGATTCAGCGATGGGGGGGAGGGGGACATAGCCTGCAGGTTGATCGGCCAAATTAAAGAAGTTGAACTGTTTGCCTCTTTTGCCGTGACCCTAGGCTGGGATAGCCTATACCAGGGTTCTTCAACTCTGGACCTCGATTCCAAATCCAGGCCGTGTTTTCAGTTCTCCCAGGTAGTTGTTTAATAATGACTGATTCTGACTGGTCAGAGGCTTCACACCTGATTGACAGGTAAAGGAAGGCTGGAAAACCAGCAGTGCTCGGACCTCGAGGACCGTGAGTTAAATAAACCTGTCCTATACCTTCCTCTGTCCCTGAGGCTAAGGGTATTGTTGAATTTTACATACGTTTGTTGAATTGTGTTCTCTCCATGTCCGTTCATAATTTGTCTACCACTCTAGTGGGGTGGTATCAAAGACACAGGACCGGTCATGTTAATCTCTGTGCTGTTTTCTTCTTGTTAGGCTACCTTGTGCCAGTTCGCAGTGAAACAACCAGTACCACTAGCCCCAGTGTGAATGCGGTAGTGCAATGTCTCAAAATAGGAATAATCCATTATAGCCAGGATGGCGGGGGGCCAACTTCGTCTATCCTGAAGAGTAAAATGGCTGAAAAAGAAATGCTATAATTTAAATGATCAGATTGTCTTATATCCATAAATGTAACTTCATGGGGGGCCCTAGTTTTCATGGCCTAGCCTTGCCTTAAGGTCTATGTGTCTGGATCGGCCTACGGTCTATGTGTCGGTATAAGCCTACGGTCTATGTTTCTGGATAATGTCAATTTGCAACATTGTGTAGTTGAATAAAATGCATATCACGTGTAAAGTGGCATGACAGCTTTGTTAAGGGGGATGCGCTTTAAAATTTTGAAGTGCTTTTGAAAATGTAAGTGTGGATGGATAGAAGGTGACAGCAGCGTGAGTGAGTGACTCGTAAGAGAGAAGCAAGACAGCAAGCCATTGGTCGGAGTGAGGGGTGAGCAAAGTGGCTGATCAGCAGTAGATAATGAACGCTTCATTATCGGTACAATGGATTTAAGTGTGAGACACGTACCTCTGGGAAGGCTTACTGGACACATTGTTGCCCGACTCATTAATTGCTGATAATGACCAGAGGTCATTAACGCAGCGTCTGTCATTTCGGCCTCTCCCCATCATTGACACGTAGAAATATTGACATGATAGATCTTAAAACTGAATTCAGTAAAAGCTCTCCTATCCAGCAATATGGGGAAGGGAGGCAGTAATGAATAGTTACCTTACGTTCTGGAAAAGTACTATTTGCAAGGTCACTCTTAAAAAATACTGAATTATAACATTATTTAAACCCTAATCCTTTTAAACACGCACTAATGATTATTGACTGCTACTCTTACACGGTGCAGTGTCTCTGTCATGCTCAAGGAATCGTCAGCTAACAGTAACCAGCGTAAAGATCACCAAAGTCTGCTGCTGCGTGGGTATGCGCTGGTGCTGCTGCATGGGTATGCGCTGGTCCTGGCTCGGGTACGACACAGGGCTGTTTCTGTTATAATGCAGGGCTGCTGACTCTCACACACCTGGCCTGACGCTCACGCTTTCAGACTCTCACGCAAGAAATCTTATGGCAAATCTATATTATTCCATTATAAACCTAAAATTAGCTACATCTAAAGCATTGGGGAAGTCTGCAAACTATACAGACTATGTACAAGGTAATAAAACCGTTACATACATGTGAATACGAGTGCGTGTGTGTGTGCAGATGTGTCCCGAATTGAAAATCTCATTCCAGGCAGCTGACCAAAATTGGAAACCCTGTTTATATAGTTTACTGTAAGACGTAAAATAAGAGTGCTGTTTCTTACTATTACTATTATTTTATACTGATATTTTAGAATTGTGCCGGTCATATTGCAGCGATTTTACTGTACTAATAACTTCCGAATCTCACTGATTCACGGTAAACACGACAGACTGTAAAAGCGCTTCTTGGTTATCGTTGGCTCATTGCCCTTGAAATGGTGTCACACGTGTTAAAACACCCTGAGGGGTAACGAGTCTCGGGACCATCTGTAGAATTATACAGCGGTGGGGTCTGACGTGGAAAGGAGCTGCCTGGGGTTTCCCCAGCCGGGGGGGGGGGGGGGGGGAGCGGCAGCGAGGCAGGGAGTCGCGTGGAGTGCGAGCCCGTCCTGTCACGGTTCAGTTAGCGGGGGATCACATTGCCTTGGTGCTGCAGCTCTCCTCTCGGAACCCGCCGGCGACGCCGTTGTCCCCGTTGGCAGCCTGCGTGCTGATAATTATGCTCCATGATGAATGAAAATGCTGCCACTTTGGTTAAGAACGTCACCCGTTTAGACCATAATGAGAAGCTCATTGTCAGAAGATAATTGAATTTCTCTGTGGCAGGAAGGCAGAGCAGCCACGGCGGTGATACTCGTATTAATTCTGATTTCAAAAGTGTTTTTATTATTTCTGATTACAATATGAAATTTTGAGGTTAGTTGTTTGTGATGCAGCTCACTGAGAACTATTGTGTATGACGGGTGTAAGAAAATAGCTGTTATTTGTGAATTATTTGTTCCGGGAGATTTACACGCTAACCATTCTTGGGTTTGTTTGTGTGTTTTGTATTTATGCAATTTGGAGCCCGGGAAGTCTGTAATTAAACATAAATGTTGCGCGGCGTGCAAAGGAAACCAAATGTGACATTCAAACATGGTCTGGCATTTTACCTGGACGCACGATGGCTGATGGCAAAACCGAGCAGATGGGCCAGAACTCAATGCCATATTTATCAACCCCAGTCACTGGGGAGGGACTTGCTCTGAAAAAAGCTTTCCTGACTGATTTCGGTCCTCTTTTCTTTTAGTCAGCTTCAGGGAACGCATATTGCATTTAATCCCCAATGGTGAATCAAAATATGGGATTGTAAGACTGTAATGCAGCCATGTGCAGGTGCTATGGATGAGATGGACTCCGTTAAATGTGCCCTGAGTGACTTGCTTGCTTATGGGAAATTTCTCACCTGAATTCCATTTTGTTTTGGCTGTTAACCAATGGAGCAAGGTGTTGCTGAGATGAAGACTGACTGGCCTGTTCTAGAAAGGCCGCGAGCATTTGTTGCGTGAATTTCTGATTCGAGCGTTGGTTCCATGAGTGCGTACTGTATGACCTCAATCTATTAGTATCCATATAAATCTGTACTAATTGATACATAAAAAGCGTTTAATTAGTTGAAGTTAACATATCCAGCTGCTCCAACTACAAACACTGTAGCACTGTTTCATGCCACAGAATGGCAGTAACTGACTTCAGTCTGTTTCACGTGGGCGTGTGTGCATCTGCGTCTACATGAGACTGCAATGAAGTCGAGGAGCAAAAAAGCTGACAGGAACGGCAACTGTAGCTTTCTTCATGTTCATTATGTTAATGTTTTACGTTTGGCATGTGAGTTCAAGGATACCTTAGAGAGAGAGCGAGAAAGAGAGAGAGAGAGAGAGAGAGAGAGAGTGTGAGAGTGGGGTGACTGTGGGGTGGGGGGTAGATTTCCCTGGGCACTGGGATAATGGGTCATATCCAGCCTCTCTCTGGCTAAGTCATCAGAGCAGCTGATTGTGTCACACGAGGGCTCAGGGGTTGCTCTGGGCATAAGCAGCTGAACTTCCATCTGTACACATGGTTCTGCTCCCAGGGAGAGCGCCACCTGCTGCACCTGGAAGGTGGTGTTCTGGGGTGACGTGGAGGGCTCGTGTAAAAAAATAAATAAAAATTTGTCTGCTGTCCTATGAAATGCGAGTTGGGAAAATGCAGTCAACGTCTAGGCTGGACTTTCACCTCACCTGTACTAGTGGCAAAACAGATGATAACGGTGATGATCATGATTATGGTGATGATGATAGTGGTGGTGATGATGTTGTTGGTGATGGTAATGACGATGATGATGGTGGTGATGATAGTGGTGATGATGATGTTGGTGATGGCAATGACGATGATGATGGTGGTCTTGGTGATGATGATGATGATGACGATGATGGTGGTGGTGTTGATGATGATGACGACGATGGTGGTGGTGGTTGTGGTGATGATGATGATGATGATGATGACAATGATGGTGGTGGTGATGACGATGATGGTTGTGGTGATGATGATGGTGATGATTATGGTGGTCGTGGTGATGATGTTGATGACGATGATGGTGGTGGTGATGATGATGATGATGACGACGATGGTGGTGGTGGATGTGATGATGATGATGACAATGATGGTGGTGATGATGACGATGATGGTTGTGGTGATGATGATGGTGATGATTTTGGTGGTCGTGGTGATGATGATCATACCAGCAGCGATTTTTGTGATGCACTTCTGTCTCTCCACAGGACAAATGACATAGGATGAACACTGCTGGCCGGCTCTGTCTGTCTGTGCTGTTGTCCCTTCTCGCACTGGCCTGGCCTACGGAGCTGCCGGGCCAGGGTCCCCCCTGCTCCTCGCTTGCGGCAGGGGTGCTGTACGGCTCCTTCTCTCTCAGGGACCTCTTCCCCACCCTGGCCGCAGGCTGCTCCTGGACCGTGGAGAACCCTGACCCCACCAAATACTCCCTCTACTTCCGCTTCAACCGTCACGCGGGAGCCTGCCTGAGCTTCCAGCCCTCCGTGCTGGCGCTGGACCACTACCTCGCCAACCAGACGTGTGCCGTCCCTCCGCCGGCCGAGCAGCGCCCCCCAGAGGTGGTGGAGCTGTGTCGGGGCACCGGCGCCCATACTTTCCTACAGTTCGACAAGAACTTCGTCCAGCTGTGCCTGGCTGGTGAGCCGGAGCCAGGGGAGGCACCGGTCGGCGCTGAGACCCTTGCGTTCGGCCTGGTGGAGCTGCTACTTGTCAATAACGAGAACTCCAGCCGCTTCACCTGCGCTGTGCTGTGCCGCTGGTTCGAGGAGTGTCTGCACGTGGGTCGCCCTGGCGAGCGCTGCGGCCTCACGCAGACAGGCTGCGCTTGCCCCGATGTGGCCCCGCCCCTTCCACTACTGCCCGCCACGCCCCACAACGACACAGCCTCATCGTCTTCGTCCGGCTTCTTCTTGGAGACGCCCGACAGCTGCTGCGTCACTGAGCTGCACTCCAAGAACGTCATCGCCGTAGCGCCCAGGGATGTCAGGCAAGGTAACCGCGGCTCTCGTTCAGCTCGTGCTCTGCTGGCGTTCAACTCTGCCTTGACCTCGGGCCGTAGGTGTCCTCTGATTTACGCTAACGTGCGGGAGTGGAAATGTCGGTAAGCGGGAAATTCGGGGCAGCAGCAGGGAGTTCGAGGCCTGAGGGGGTTTGCGGTGATGAGGTTCAGGTAGAAGTTGTGATTGGGGCCAGTGCTTCTCACTGATTGCAAGCCGGCATCATCTGGCGACCTTCTAACGGGAATCAGATATTCAAATCAGACTTTCAGATCCTCGCAGCAATCAGGTCACTTCTCCCCCCTCGCTTTATCCACTTGGCGTCTGATTTGGCTGCTGGTTGACTTGATGAGGGAGGTGCTGTGGGAGTTGGTGGGGATGGGGGGGGGGTATAGTGGTGGGGGCTTATCAGTAGATGCACAGACTTGACGCAGTGGATAAAGCTCATTATCTGATCCTGCCGTGCGGTACAGAGGGTCACCGTGTGGCAAGACCCAGGGCACAACATCCGACCTGCCAGAGAGTCTGGCTGATCCTAGAGCCACATTTCCCATGCATTTCCAGAGTTTGCATTATTTTGTAAAGACTAACTGTCAACTCTTTGTCAGGGACATGGCACGCATTCGCAGAAAAACAAAGGAATATCATCCTGGACATTCTCACCAGTTCTCAAAGTCGGTCAAACTCAGAAAAGGCCTTGGCTTTCAAGATATTTTGGAATTTGAGCAGGTTGTTAGATATTTTCAGCTGACTGCATAGTTACACGGCGCTAATTAAGCCACCCTGGAATAAGCTGGAATTGATTCCTCATCGTACACCAGCCTGGGACGTTGGAGGACTAGTAACAGCAATCCCCAAAGCCTGAGTGCTCATTAAATATGGTCGTTCATGTGGGGAGATGGGGAGACAGCTGGGTATTGGCTGAAGTTACTTTGGTCTGTGTGTGTAATCGGGCTTCTGCGTTGGTCTTTTTGGTTGGCAAGTTTTCACCCTTTAAGTCTTTGCTTGGAGCCAGAAATGTCAAGTTCAAGGCATTCTGGTTGCCTAGTAGCATGGAGACACTCTAAAGCAAGAGAGTTGGCCCTGGCTACCCACTTGCCGAATTGGGTTAGCTACTTAGCTGGCTACAGACTCTTGATGAAGAAATAGTGTGTTGGCTTTGGGTCATTGGTTGAAATTGCTGCTACTTTCCACCCATTAAAATCTGAAATGCATGAAATTGTAGAATTATTTGCTTTCCTGGGAACTGAGAGAGACTGTTCACAGTATAGACTTCTCTAGTATTCTTGATGATCCTGAAATTCTCACACAGAGGGTTCTGGAGAGCGCTGTCAGTTTATGGACTAATTCAGGTTGCCGGTCCCTGGTATTGTGTTACTTCTTCCTTTAACTTCAGTTATACTTGACTTGGCAAATGGCACAGTGTGGTTTTCAGCCTGCCTCTGAAAGCCTTACCTGCCTCTGAAAGCCTTACCTGCCTGTTTTTATTTTTAATTTTTTTCAAGGGCTCTTTCATCCAAGGGGGGCCCGTAAAATGACAGGTGAAAGCTGGCTTCTAGATGTTCTACATGAAATCTCTTCCTTGGGTCTATTGTTATCTGCACCTAAAGGAGAACTCAGAAGAACGCAATGGGTTATGTCTTCATCACGTTGCATCAGTTGTGCAGCTTTACAAATATAGACTCATGAGGCAGCAGCCACATTACTCATTAAAGTCATGCTGTGATTTTTGTTTTGCTGCTTATTTTACACAATTTACCTGCTTTGCTATGGCTTTGAATCTTTTTGCTTTTCCTTCTTCAGGAAAAATGGATTGATAATGGATTATAAAGGAATTCTCCCGGAATTATTGTCTTATGAAGACACGTTGTTGGTATAAACATTTCAGTAATTGTATATTTATTATTCCTGGGAGCTACTCCAGCCAATTTGGCCGTTTGCTGCGAGCTGCCTGACGGTCTTCTCCATCCTCATCTGGCTTTTCTTGGACTACATCAGCAAGCTAATCTGAACATTTTAATTGGCAATATGCTTTAAACAAACTTGTCGCATCCAGTAAACCTCAGCATCATACTAAAGTTGGGCGATTAACCAAAATGTTATCCTCACCAACATAAATGACCTTATGGCTGTTCCTGCTAATTGCATTCTTGTGGCCCAGCCATGTCTGGTTTGACTAAAGCATGCTGTGGTTTTCTGTAATTGTATTATTTTCATGGTGTTTCCCTCATGATCTTGATCTGCTGAGTAAGGTTGCGGCATTTGTTGCCCATAGTGCGTGATGGAGTTTGTGTGTCTTGTAATGAGCTGGCATCCCATCTAGAGCAGTGTGTTCCAACCCAGTCCTTCGGGACCCTCAGACAGTCCACGTTTTTGCTTCCTCCCAACTCCCAGCCAATCAAGGACACTGAATACCGAGTGTAGGTGCTTTGGAAGCTGATTGGCCCCCAGAGAACCCCATCCCCAGTCACTCCCCCATTCCAAACATATCACTGGCTAATGATGAGGTCAGCCCTTCTGTTTAAATTATGGCCCTTGTATGCCACCCAGCCTTAAAAAAAATCATACAATTGCCTCAGGTCACCTCAATTAACTCAATTAAACTTTGGGGGGTGGGGAGGGTTGTTGATTGGGGGGGGGGCGGGGCTGTGGTTAAGCAGACGATCCATAGACACACTTCGGGGAGAGACCAGACTTCTTCATTTTACACTGAATGTCTATAAAAAAAAATTTTTTTTATAAAAATTAAAGCAAAATAAAAGATATTGTCCTTGGTAGATGGTGCTTGGCAGTGGGGACACATGGCCCGCGAATGCCCCTCATTACGCCCAGCCTGATCTACTTGGCTAAATGGACTGATGGTTTTCTCACACTCGCTATCAGTGTCTGAATCGTAATCCCACTGCCATCGCTGTAACTGTTATCCTTCATGGTGATTTGCTTTATCCGGTGACGCATTTGCATGCCTGACGGGGCGGCGGTGACAGCGGCGAGACTCTCGCACGCTCCGCTGCATGGAGTGATGTATTCTGGAGCTGTCCACACTAAAGCTAGATAGTTATTAGCTTTTGTGGCGAGTTAAGCGTTCGGCAGAGCCGAGCAATTCTGCCGGCATATCATACAGGGGCAAAGAAAGTAAAAATGTTAGTCATTAAACTGGAGTCACCCTTGGGTTTCAGCCTCATTCCTGCGTAATAACTCCGTTTCATTTACCGTGGTCACCGGTTTGAAACTCTCTGTGTGCTTAAAATGGATGGCAGTCACTTTCTCATTTTGGATGTATTTCCTGTGAAAATGTGACCCCATCACTTTTCTTTCTTGTTAAAAATCACAATAGCTATTTTTTTCCAGCTGATTGACCGCCGGAGCTTAGGGCTGCCCGAGTGGGGGCGAGCTCTCTGTGGCCTCTGGCCCCCCCACCCCAACTGATTGCCACGTTTATACCTCCTTAGTAATTTCTCACCCGGCTCCGCCTGGCATTTTGTGTCGACCTGCACCTCATTGATGATGTCTTTGGACGAATCCAGATTTAGTTTTGGGGAACAGGAGATGGAAGTTGACATCGCATAGGGGTTCGCCTTGATCTCTTCGCCGTTTGTCTTGTATTTTCTTCCTGCTTGGTGTCAGTCCTCACCTTGTTAAATCTTGTTAAACCATACTGATGTCCCACTGAAGATGTTCGGTGATGACATTCATTTTTGTTCACTAAACGAGGTTTATGTGAGATTTTGAAGTGTGGAGCCATTCCTGCTGGAACATGCTGGTCCGATCAGAACCCATCAGTTGGGGGGCATTTTTAGTCAGAATGGGCCCCCAGAGAGAGTATTGGATTTGCCTGGCTTTGGCTCCAGATCCCTCTGCCTGTTCTAAATTCGGGGGGGGAACTAGCATCCCGTCCTGTCCCATCCCACAGTGCCTTGCCCTTCCCTTGTTCATCCTATAATTGTCTGCAAGTGCAAAGAGAGCTCACTTATCTCACATCACCTTTTAATTAATATTCTGTTATTTCCTTTGACTTCAAGCCCAATGTTCATGCCTCCCTGAATGCTGCTTATTTAAACAGCCCCACCCCCATCCATATAGGAGATGATCAGAGTTGGGTAGTTCAGGTCCAGAGAGTAAGACTCCAGAGTAAGATTTCATTTCAACCAATCAGCTGAGTACTCTGTGACTGTGACTCTACTCTTTATACTGAACTGGTTAGTTGAAACAAAATCTTGGTGTGGATTTTTTTTTTACTCTCTAGACCTGATGTACCCACCTCTGGAGAAGATGAAGGTAGGCCTCTTTGAACGGAGCGTAAGCCGTGTTGGGAGTGCCGGAGCAGTTGTCGAGCAGTAAAGCACCCATTACTGTAACCTGTGTGCCTGGGATATTCGCCCCCGCGTCCCGTTTGACCTACTTCTCAGACAGTAAAACACTGTTAAATATCCTGCTCAATTATGCAGGCCTAGTTGGTGTTTTTTTTTTTTTTTTTTTTTTATTGACCTCACAGACTCTCCTTTTTCACAGGAAGCTAATTGCATGCAGTGTGAGGCCTTGCTTGAGTGGGGGGGGGGGCGCGTCGCGGCCCGTTACGTCAGCAGGGTGGCGCTTCTTAGCGGCTGTCGTCACCTGTTCACTGGCGATGCTCCTTGGCCAAATTTTGGTGACTCGTCCCCCCCATTCCTTTTACCCCAAGGTCCAGAGCAGGGCCGTGATTCGGGGCTCAGTGACTCACTCTCACCCCCTGTCTGCCACGCTGGTGCAGGTGCAGTGCTTCATTCTCTATCCTGGAATTTTTATGTTTTTAACAAGTTGCCTTCACGCAACTCGAGTCACACCGTCTGGGGATTGGCATTCCTACCCAAGGATAGTTTTCTGCTGAAGCCATTCAGCTCGTTTTCTAATAATCCTCTGTAACCCCCCAGGGACAGAAACCTAAAATCTCTGATTATTTTTAAAACTTTTGTTTTTACCTCCATCCATTTTATTTATATATTTATTTTGCAAGCT